TTAGCTGGGTCTTTGGTTGAAGATTGTGCTCATACAAAGAACGATACAGGCCGGGAGTGAAATAGGAACAGACATCCAAATTAGATGGCAAGTAGTCATGAAGACGATGTGGTGTTGCTTCAATCTCTTGAAGATCTGTGTCTTCTAACAGTACAGAAAAATCTCTCTCCCTCTAATGTCTGGTCCATTCATAGACTTGTACCCTATGTACACTGTCCAAGAATCGACCACGTCGTTCACTCGTTCATTTGTGACAATTTCATGGACATTTCTCACACCGATCAGTTCTTGGCTTTGGACGAGAAAGAAATGCAATGGCTGCTCGACAATCAAGATATCAAAGTATTCCAGGYAGCCAAGTTAGATAGCTTAGCTCGATGGTACAAACACAAGGAAAAGCAACGAGAAAATGCTTTCAAACAGCTGTTTAACAAACTACACTTGACTGTAATCAGGGAGGATTTGTTATGGGCATTGATCAAGAAGTATAAGTTAGTGAAAGTTATCCCTAAACTAAGGAAGCATAAACCCAAGAAGATGAAAAACAAGCTGCCTTCAGTATATTTGAACTTTGACGACTTAATTCATGAGGAGTACATTGGACGTCGGACATGCAAAGTCTGTGAGTTTGGGTTAAAAAACTTTATTATAATATTATAAAACTTTAAAAAAGGTCTCGAACACATTGTACACGATGTGATAATCGATTGAAGATCATAAGGGAGCACTGGAAAACTGAAAAAGAGGTCATTAGCTCAGTTTTGAGGTAACAGATAAAAAAACAAAAAAAACAAAACAAAACACCGAAATGGGGGTTGGGCAAACGAGTGTCAAAGTAGTAATTCAAACTCTTGATTTAAAAATAGAATTTATTAATGTCGTATATTACAAGCTGATAATTCATTTTGTACGATTCTACACGATAGACATCGTTTTGTAAGTATATTGTTATCTGGTACTCACTTGCTACTACTTGTTATGCGTGGAAAATGTTTTCTGATAACGGAGAAGAGACTCCAAAAAAGTAAGGTTGAATGAGAGCGGTGGAGAGAACGCGAGGTCGGCGATGTCAATAAGTCCTCGAGAAATGTTTCACTTTCTATCGACAACCGGTCAAACATTCCGGGTACAGCTTTAACAAAGTGAGCACCCTACACCAGTTTTATAAAGAGATACTGTCTTACACATCAAACTGTGATTTAAAGAATGGAGGGAACAGCTTATTACCATACAAGAAAATATCCAGGGTTCGTGCAAGTATTCAAAACAGATCACGTGATTTCTGGCCACGTGAATAGCTCGAAGTGGTCTGAAGTGTGCTCTGCTATCAAACTTGTAAATAACAAAAAAAAAATCCTTGAGTGTTTTGTTTTCTCGTTATCTGTAGAAACTTACCTAGTATAAGTTTTCTAAGAAATATAACAGCTCACATGCGTTTCTATTCCTTGAAAAATGTTTTTCCAATTCATCCACAACTAGATCATCTAACTCTGCCATAACCAATAACTTTTTTTGTGAACCACTATAACCATCGCCGCTTTACTCTCCCCCAAACAATGTCAGTCAAGATCGTCTGACCGTTCAGTACAACTTGACTATTTCAGCTATATTTGATTTGCTAGATGCCTAGTGCRCGAAACTTGGTTTCCAGTGCAAAATGGAGATTGCGTGATGTTTTGGCGGCTACAGGTTACTAAGAGAAAGATTATTAGACAGAAAGATGATTTGTTGTAAAGGCAACCGTTCATGTCTATAAAATATCTCTGGCATGATTAAAAGTAGGGCGTACGAGCTGTTTGATTTGCAGTTGTGTCGAAGTACATTCAGAGATCGATACAGTAAGTTAGCTGGGTCTTTGGTTGAAGATTGTGCTCATACAAAGAACGATACAGGCCGGGAGTGAAATAGGAACAGACATCCAAATTAGATGGCAAGTAGTCATGAAGACGATGTAGTGTTGCTTCAATCTCTTGAAGATCTGTGTTTTCTAACAGTGATGAAATATCTCTCTCCCTCCAATGTCTGGTCCATTCATAGACTTGTACCCTATGTACACTGTCCAAGAATCGAGCACATCGTTCACTCATATATTTGTGACAATTTCATGGACATTTCTCACACCGATCAGTTCTTGGCTTTGGACGAGAAAGAAATGCAATGGCTGCTCGAGAACCAAGATATCAAAGTATCGGAAGCAGCCATGTTAGACAGCTTAGTTCGATGGTACAAACACAAGGGAAAGCAACGAGAAAATGCTTTCAAACAGCTGTTTGAACAACTACACTTGAGTGTAATCAGCAAGAAATTGTTATGGTCATTGATCAAGAAATATAAGCTAGTGAAAGTTATTCCTGAACTACGCAAGCATAAGTCCAAGAAGACGATGAAAAATATGCTTCCTCAATCTCTGAACATTGATGACTTAGTTCATCAGGAAAACATTGCAGTGGTGATATGCAATGGAAGTTTGGAGCCTAGGGCAGGCATTTGGACCTACCGTTTGCCTTTAAATTACTCAAAGGAATTAACCGAGCAAACTTTACTGTGCGACAAAATTCTTCTGAAAACCGAATCTGGTAAATTCCATCCGCGCTTAGTTTTACCTCTTTCCCCATGTGTTTATTTAATGGATGTCTGCATTAGGAATTACAGAGAATATGTCGACAGTACCATGTTGTGCTGTGATATAACGACAGGTCATGTCACCAAATGTGCTTCGATACCCAAACCGAGAAATTTCAGTTATCCGCACATTTGGACTGCTGCACCATGTGGGATATTTCTATTTGTTTTGCTTTGTACTGAAATAACCATTAACAACTATCGTTATGACACCATTAAAGACGAATGGAAAGAATTGCGTCCCATAAATCAACTTTWTGGGGTTTCCATTATCAGTGGCCCGAAAGCCGTTAGTACGTCTTTTAGAAACGAATATGTATTTGTAATTGGTAGAATTGGTGGGGCAAAATATAATGTTTACACAAACACATGGCGTGAAGTCAGAGTTCCCTGGTTTTCATGGCCATGTCTAGTGGACTACATGGGCCAAGTGTCTGATGAAGACATTGATAATTCCCACTGCACTTCAACAAATGACAAGGTGTTGGTAATAGTTCCACAGAAAAGACATCTCTTCGTCTACACCCCTCATTGCCACAGCTGGAAATCAATGGAATTGAAATGCGATATTCCTCGTGGAGTGAGTATATACAACTTTACTGCAAAAACTCTGAATGGCCGTTTGTACTTACTTTACCAACTCCAGAATTTCCGTCTGTACATCTCTGTATTAGACAATGACCTCAAGAAAGAGAGAAAGCTCCTCGAGGATAAGGAGTCAATGAGTTTTGTACACACGTTGAACTTGATATCACTGACAAGAGTAGGTCGCATCATTGCTGGCAGTTTGGTGTAATTTCATAACATTGGGAGATCATTTGCGATGAGTAKTTTATCATTTTTGTCCACAATTTTTTAAGAAGTTCCTGGAAAACAGGATGTCCATGAATTTTYGCTGAAGCTTTTCGCACTTGCAATCAATATATAGACACGTCGGCAGCTGTACCTTGTGTCAGCGCAACTATGTAATCTTAACACATAAATTACGATTGCATAAAGGCTGATTTACTCGGTACGACTGTCGCGTACGACTTGTAGTATACGATTTTCCTACTACAAGTCGTAGGATTTTAAGCAGTGGTTCAAAATCCTACTACAAGTCGTAGGTTGTGTACGACTGTTGTAGACAAGTCGTAGGGGCATTTACACTGCACGATTCAAGTCGTATACTACAAATCGCACGAGACAATCGTGCCGTGTAAATCAGCCTTAAATTACTTGTTCGTAAGAAGAAAATGTCCACAAGGGGATCCGGGGATTTGCTATAATGACTGACGTGTTGAATTTTATGAAATAGCTAACAGAACAATTGTAATGTTTTTTCCTTTTTCCTTCTCTCATATGTACCTTCTCTGAGAAATAAAATAGGTGACGCGTGATTGTTTTGTCATTTTTTCTCATTATTAACTTGTCTTGGGAAATGATAAGGAAGCTTTACAAATAACATATTTTTTCCGACGTCGCTTTATCTACTC